CCCCAATCAAACTCGTGCGGCGGTAAAGCGGCTAACCGCAACACCATGCGCCAGTGTACAGTGATTTGTTTAGTTTCAGTAAGAGTTTAACGGCACTTGCCACACTAGTACAATGTAGATCATAATACAAGCTGAAGACTAGACGTATTGCTAATGAATAACATAGTATACAGAAAAGAAAGAGGAGAGGCAAGGACGATAGGAAAAGAGCAAACCACAACAGAGCGCCCATCAACCAACCACCCACTTACAGTATTTGTAAGAGGAATTAAAAATATACCATACAACAAAAGAAACCACAGTCAACGGGACATGCTTAGAGACCGTAACTATCTCCAAATCCCAGCCGAAGGATACAGCAAACTAAACACAGGGTAATGATTACAGAGCAAACACAGAGACAGACAAGGACGACAGAGGAGAATAATAACAGAAGGACACTTTTACTTTCTACTCAACACCTAGCTGCGGGGATCGAGCTACTACTTAAAAATCGTTGTCACAATAGTGCACTTGTGTGATGCTCCCATCCATCCTTAATTTAGATCAATTCAGATGCGGGATGCTCCAACCCTAACTGTCCAGGCCAACCCAGGTTAAGTGGGATACACGATTCTATAAGACAAATGGAGAAACATGTACTCATTAATCCCGCCCCCCTTTCCAAAAAATGAAGAAAAAAATCCCCATCTTTAACCATCACACTCCTCACACTAAAGACATCGCCATCATCAACTTAGGACTGACTAAATCAAATTAATTTGACAACACAACAGAGGCCTAAAACTGCAGGCCACACAATGTAGTTTGGAATCTTGCCCAAGGACACTTTACAGATGGATTTGTGATTCTGTTATGATGAAAATATTGTCTCGTCCAGTGAGTATGAAGCTGGCAACAGTGACAGGTATACGTTTGGTCTGTGTTAACGAATGTTAAACGTGTCGAGGGGAAAGCAAGGCAGAGAGACAGAAACCAAAAGTGAACAGTAAAGTAAAGAAGTAGGACATCTACAGGGTATGAAGATTGTTTTAGTAAGAAAAGTTTAACAGCACTTGCAATACAATTAGGTCATTTAAGTGCTAAAGATTAGGGACGTTAAAAGAGAATAACAAAACAAAACAAGGAGAGATCAGGACCATAGATACTTGATAGGAAACAAGGAACAAACCGCACCAAAGCACCCGCCAACCACCCACGGAGAGCAAAGTAGGGCGTCCACCGGGTAAAAGTTTAACGCCCCTTTTGGTATTGCCAAGGCGTTAACAACAATTTTAAAGAGGCCAGACCTACGAATTAAATTAAATTTCTCCGATAAAATCAAGTCAGATGGGACGAGGACCTTGAAACCACAAGCACCCCATTGAGCGGGCCTAACATTCTTATGGCACAATGAATGTGGGCACTCCATAAGCTCAGTTTGTAACATGCTGGACTACAGAGCAGATAGCCAAGGCTCGAAACTCAAACTGAGCGTTCTTGAACTCGGGTCGTTTCGTGGAGTTTTCAAGGCCCCTAACCCATTTGGCTCGGTCCTATCGGAGACAGGCGATGAATTCGGATGCCCCGCTTCTTGAATTATGACCTAACAGTGTTGATAATGGCATTAAACTGTCCCCGTCGTTTCATGCAAGAAAAATTCTGAAGTTATGCAAACTGAGCCCAAAAATTGAGAAAGTATGCGATTCCGTTGGTTGTTTTTTTTAACAAAGAATGATAAAGGAAAATAATCAGAAATTATATTTAAAAAATTATCAAATTTTGCTAAATTATGCGGGGTGCATAAAACCACGGGAACAGATTAAACCCATACCCTCAGACTTGTGGCAATTAGTGTGGGGCACCCTGCAGCGTCCAGCAGGCCGGGTCGTGTGTCGGGGTGTCGGGAGGAGGCACGTGACACGTTGGAGAGGCTGGGAGCAAACAGTAGCACTCCCTGAGACGACCGACACCCGACACCCGACTCGTGTTTGGGGACCAGGGAACACACACTCTCTCTCTCCCCCTCTCTCTCTCTCTCTCTCTCTCTCCTTCTCTCTCTCTCTCTCAACTCCTTATCTCAACAAAAGAGTAAAAATCACCTAGGCTGAACTTTAAAACAACCTATCTATCTCTGTCTGTCTCTCTGTCTGTTTGTCTCTCTGTCTCTCTGTCTCTCTCAAACAAAAGCGTCAAACACAATAAAAACTTAAAACACTAACACAACGGCCAATAAGGGCTGGGAAACAGCAAGGCACACAGACTATGGGGATAAAAAATAGTAGAACTTACCCGAGATGCTTTTCACCATTCCCATAATATATATTAGGACAAAAATAACGCTGAAAAGAAGTAAAGCAGGTAAACTCTGATGCTAATAATACACTTCAACCACCAGCCATAAGCTAAGGGCAAAGAGAAGACGATAGAATCCAACTCCAGTTTCTTGCGTCCAAGGGCAAGAGCCCTACCATTACACCACATAGACCAAGCCTGAGGAAGATGTTTGAGTAAAGAAAAACACATCGACACAATTATGGTGATTTAGTGCAGGGAAAGAGTAAGACAGACAGACAGACAGACAGACAGACAGACAGACAGACAGACAGACAGACAGACAGACAGACAGACAGACAGACAGACAGACAGACAGACAGAGTGAGTGAGAGG